TTTTCACTTGCGTCAACCCACAACTTATTCAGCTCACAGTGTTACAGACCCGCCCCTCCATCCTAATTCGATACCACGCTATACCAGGAAGTAGCAGGCGAGTGAGACGCTACACTATACCGGCCGGTTTCCTTGATTTTAAATGTGAGTGACTATATGTTTTTTATAAATAAACGTTTATGCATACTACACCATGAGGAGGTTTCTCTTTTTTACCTAAATCCATAACGGACGGAGTGTTATCAAGAGTAAACAATTGGGGATGCGGACCTTCTGACTTGGGATCTTCTGCTTTAATATATCAACCCGTGTGGTGAGTACACACCCGAAAGGGGATAGTTTGAAAGCACCGTGGTGTGGGAAGAATTCACCAACTGATGCACCGATTGGAGATATCTGCTTGAAATGTTCATTGGATCCAAATTTCAATCATATCACGGCTTCTAATTTGGGACTTTCTTATAGTTTTATATTTTGTCATCAACATGAATTTAGCTATGAGAAAATAGCTAGGCAAATCACACTATATAAATTCTAACCTATATAACAATGCTAATATTAACTGAGGCTATGCATCTCATATTCTATGCCCCTATTGTGGCGGCACAATAGTGGCGTGTGTAATTATCCTCAGCTTAAATCATAGGCAATGTCTGGTCTTTCTTTTAATACTATGGACCAGAGGGCCACAAGTACACATTACAACATGGAAGCCTAGCTTCACTCTTCAGCATTATGCTACCCAGAGCTTCATAGGCCATGGCAGTTCCTCAGAAAAAGATCTGCATGTGAGGTGTAAGCCAATTTAGTTTTCTAAAAAATGGGAAGGATGGGAGGTAATTCTCAAATTTTACAACTAGCATTTCACTCTAATGTAAATATAATAGAATTTCATATATGACATGTTGCTTTTTGCAAGTGATCTTGACAAATACATTGTCTGAATTACAAATGTAATGTTTCTCCAGAGGCATTGCTGAGGGCTCTCCGCATGTGTCAAGCAAGCTTTATATCTACGTGAGATGTCATTTTAGATTACAGGGCTGCTTGCAAATGTCCAAAAAAAGAATAGTTTTCTTTTTTCACTGAGTTTTACTGGTAATCCTTTACATAGCTAAGGTCCTTTTTATACTTAATAAAAGTCTCCTAAATCGACTGCAGTGAAATTAAGACCGACTGTTCAGACTGGAGTGCTCCCAACCCACCCTTTAGTAACTAAATTTGTATCCACTGTGTGCACACACAGGTTGAATACAGGCATATAGGCATACAGCATGAAAATGTATTTGCAGTGCTCAGGAGCCCCAGCTACAGCATTTTTATGTCCATAGGTATGCATGGACAGAAAAAATGCTGTATGCTGATGTACCAGTGTTTACGAGTGCACAAACATGGGCTTAGGTTGGTTCCCCAATGCATTTGGGAACTTACGCCAGTGCGTGTGTAAATGCCGGTGCCAGCGATTATATCTACGTACCTGCGTACAGCCTATTGTGCCCATACATTCCTATGGACAGAAAAACACAGCAGCTGGGCTCCCAAGTGCCACGCTATTTGTATTCATGTGCATGAGCCCTTCTGTTTTACCAAGTACACTGCAAAGCATCTTGGTAGGCTTGGGTTCTATGCCATTGCACTGCCCTATTCAGATAAAGCTCAGTGAGTCTCTTAATCATCTTTCTTCATCTACCTACCATCTGCCATTTATAAACCTAAATCATTATAGTTAATAGTGTTTATACTGAGCAGCTATATATATTTCCTCTAAAAAAATCCAAAATATGTGATACACTCAAAAAGTAGAATTAATTTAAAATGTAAAGTTTAAATCCTACTTTACAGGACCTTTGTTTGTGCACTGGTGCGCAGTCATGTTGGAACCGGAAGGGGCCATCCCCAAACTTTTCCCACAAAGTTGGGAGCATGAAATTGTCCAAAATGTCTTGGTATGCTGGTGCCTTAAGAGTTCCCTTCACTGGAACTAAGGGGCCAACCCCAACCCCTGAAAAACAACCCCACACCATAATCCCCCCTCCACAAAACTTTACACTTGGCACAATGCAGTCAGTCAAGTACCGTTTTCCTGGGAACCGCCAAACCCAGACACGTCAATCGGATTGCCAGACAGAGAAGCGTGATTTGTCACTCAAGAGAACACATCTCCACTTCTCTAGAGTCCAGTGGCGGCATGCTTTACACCACTGCATTCGACGCTTTGCATTGCACTTGGTGATGTAAGGCTGGGATGCAGCTGCTCGGCCATGGAAACCCATTCCTTGAAGCTCTCTATGCACTGTTGTTGTGCCATTCTGAAGGCCACACGAAGTTTGGAGGTCTGAAGCTATTGACAGTTGGCGACTTCTACGCACTTCAGCATGCGCTGACCCTGCTATGTCATTTCACGTGGCCTACCACTTCGTGGCAGAGTTGCTGTTGTTCCCAGTTGCTTCCACTTTGTTATAATACAGTGGATCGTGGAATATTTAGTAGCAAGGACATTTCACGGATGGAATTATTGTACTGGTGGCAACCTATCAAGGTACCACACTTGAATTCACTGAGCTCCTGAGAGCGACCCATTCTTTCACAAATGTTTGTAGAAGCAGTCTGCATGCCAAAGTGCTTGATTTTATACACCTGTGGCCATGGAGGCGATTGGAACACCTGAATCCAATGATTTAGAGGGGTGTACCAATACTTTTGGTAATATAGTGTATCTTCCTGAGGTTTCTGATGGGGAAATAGCTTCAAAGACAGAGCTCTTGCCCCCGCTTTCTGCTACTAACACCTCACATGCCTCTGGTTGTCTAATTGTTACTCAGTAGTTTAGCAGGTAAGCATAGCTTTATTTAACCTCAGTAAGTAGCTGCAATTTTAATTCAGCAGCATTCCGGTTCATGTAACAGTGCATTTAATCAAAGGCCCATATTTCACCCTCTCCCTCCTCATCAAATGGTAAAACCTCACTACATACCTCAGATGCAGACTTTTCTTCTCGCTGCTACAGCCTGCCCAGAAGCCAGAACAATTTACATTGCGCAGCGCTCCGGCAGCTCTGCGACAAGCCATGCATGAACCCACCAAACCATAGAAAATAATGGCATCATGCTCTTTTCTCTATAACCGGGTTAGCTCATGTGCAGCTTGTTGCAGTGCTGCTGGAACATGCAATGTAAACACTGACTGCATGCTATTGTTGTGGGAAGTCCACCTGCATCTGATATCTGTGATTATAAGGAAGGCAAGTGGAAACCAGGTGGGATAAACGCCGTGTTTAGAAGCTACAGTTACTCTTTAATGAACACTGTCCACAGGGCTGTAACCCGTAGCAACCAACTTGCAATCATCCTCTGACCATTGCATTTTCCCCTAATTTGTTAGATAAACCATGTTGCCCATATCCAGCATACAAATAATGGGCTTAAATCATAGCATGCTGTAAAACATTTCACAAGTTTAATATCTCTCTTATGGCAAACCATAAATCTTTCCCTTGTAGTGGGGCTATCCCCTGCAGTGCAAAGGTGAAGTGCTAGTTTTTGTCTAGGGGACTTGAGTAAAGCAGTTTACTTACCTGATCCCTGCACCCCCGGCAGTCAGTTCCCACTTCCCTCCCCTCCGCTCAGGCTGGTGGACTGTCCCTCATCATTTTCATGTCTAATGTGAACCATTGGAACCCGCATTAGAAATTATGGCATCAGACATCCTTAGAACACTAGAGGAAAGGGGAGAAGAGGCTGTGGGGTTTGGTCTAGCAGCCTAGGGGGAGCTTGCAGGAGCGGGGCATCAGGTAAGTAAAGCAGCTTTTTCTGTCCCCTGCGCATGACCGAGCAGTTAACCCTTGCAGGATGGAGTAGCCCCACTACAAGGGTAGTTTTTTGGTTTGCCTGGATATAGGTTAATTAAAACAGATTTCTGTATGGCTGCTGCAGTTACTGCTCACCTTAGATAGTTTCATGCACTGCTATATAACCCCAGTTAGTTGTCAAAGTGTATGTGAAGGCAATTGTTTTGGTTTTGGATGGAGTGAGAAAGGGTTAAAACCCATGTCAGGTTTTCATTGCCCCACAGGGGAAGATTCACTATTGATATTCTGCTCAGTCTCAGTTACCATTGTCACCAAACCAGAAAGTTATGGCAATTCTGACAGTTTACAGTTGTCACCAGTTTACAGAATTCCCCTCATTATGTAAAGATTTCTTCTTACTTCCTGTTGTGTTTCTAGGACAGGAGCTGAAGGCCAATCTCCCCAACAGGACACAGACAGCAAAAATTAAACTCATAGGGGGTATTTAGAGCCAGGGCCGCCCCAGCCATTGGGTCACCTGGGGGGGACACCTGCCACCCCCTTTCCGGCCAGAGCATCCTACCTAGCTCACTGATGTCACCAGTTGGAAGGAGTTAAGCAGGATGCTGTGGCTGGTGACCTACCCAACTCCTGACAACCAGTGGCATCAGTGAGCTGGGCAGGACACCGGACAGAGCTGGAGCCAGAGGTACCACCAGCACCACCAACCCCGCCCCCCTTCCCTTCCCG